ACTAAGTTTCAGAAAAAAAAAGTTTTGTGGCTGTATCCAGATCGAGAAACGTGAACAAAATCGATCATGTTGTGACAGAAGTAAGGCACGTTTCCAGTGTTTTAAAGGCCTATTCTGCGTTGGTAAAAAAAAATTAGTTACCGGTAAATAAAGTTCCTGGTATTTTTTAAACCCGTTTGGCATTCTGCGCACTGGTAAATTTTGTTACCATCTCATAAGCAAGTAGCAAAATAATGCCCCGTAAAGTATGCAACACCAGAATTTATACAAAACTTCATAGCTGAATTGCTGAATCGATTAAATTGTTACCAAGATACGTAGAATTGCGGTTACATGAAGTGGTGTTATTTTTTAGTAACAAAACTTTCCGGTGTCAAAATGTTCGGTTACAAGGGGAATAGGCCTTTGAGAAGTACTTAGTATATCGAGAAAAGCGTGGATTACAAACGTACATGTTTCAATGGGAGCGCGCATAGTGACGAGTAGAGAGGCTTTGCTCGCCGCTCCACTATGTTTTCGGCCAGAGCTACTCAAGAACGGCGGCGAGGAGTTGGAACTGGAGTACTAGAATTTAGGTATGCTGTGCCCAGTACACAAGAAATGAGACCCCGCGCTACGTACCAGCTACCGAGATATCAGACTTCTAAGAAAATATTGAATGGTCTTATCAAGCGTGTTTTGTGATAACTGAAGCCCATTCTCAAAGAACTGGTTGGACCTTATTAGTGTGGGTCTAGACCTGAAAAATTCACCATTGATCAGCTACTCACAATATGCCAAATCTTGGAAAAAGTCTCGCGAGAATTGCCTCAACACACATCGTCTATTTGCCGAGTTCAAATCCGTTGTCTTTGTGCCGTGATATCAGGATTTTGTATCCCCGCGAGATTGATGTGGGTGTGAAAAATTATGCTGAGCATTACGACAAGCAACGTTTGAATTGTAAATGACCTTACCGAGTCGTCTAATACCAAACGCGGTTTCAGAAATTTTTCATGTTATTTTTGACGTTGGATAGCAAATAAGAGCCACAGAACTTAGCCGCCGAAATCGACATAATCGGAAAAAACAAGTGCTACGCCTATATAGAAGAAAAGCGAATATACCTGGTGGTGAACGAACTATCTCCAAGCGTCTGACAATCAGTCTCGGCGCCCACGGCACTGTGTTCGAAAAAGTAGAGTACTTCATTTATTTAGGTACCAGCATTAGCCTTGAAATCCAATGGAGAATCACTCTTTCAAGAAAAACGAAAACATCTGGTGAAACTCACTTTGAGTTTTCGAGATAAAGCTTCAGCGAAAGATTTACGGGCATTTATGATGAACTGTAGAAGCCTTGCAACGATATAGACATAGTGAAGCGAATTAAAATACATCGGCTCTGCTTGCTAGGTCGCGATGCTGGTAGCAGAGGAAGAGCAACGCCTCCTCTGCAATGGACAGACCTAGTAGATAAGGACTTGGCTTCACATTTTAAATTGGCACCAGGTGGCACAGAAAAGAAACGACTGGTGTTCCCTGTGTGACTCGGCCAAAATCGCTTAGGCGGTTACAGCGTCAATAAAGAAGATGGAGATTCTATGCCATGTTATAATCATGTAGAACATCTAAACAAAATTTAGTTTCAAGTATTTGTAACAATTTGAAATAAAGTGCAAATGCAATATGTTTATCCAATCTCAAATAAAATCATTTTCAGCCATTTTAACTTAGAATTCTACCCTTCTCAACAAAAAGGTAATTTTCGCAATGATAAAGACTGTGTTCAAAAAATGAGTTATGTGTTTGTTCTTAACTTGAGAATGAGCTATTTCCCATCATTTTCTGTACACGAATATATGTATATGTATATTAGCCGCCTTCGATTCGCCTCTTATCGTTATTTTTGAGCTTTGCTCCTTTAACGAAAAATTTCCATTTAAATGCAATAACAAAGTTAGCTAGCAATGTTGAACATTGGCGATGTTTGGTTGCTTCACGTCACATTTTACATAACTCAGATTCTTCACTCAGACACCATTATTCACTCGTTTTATTTTATATTTTTCTATTGGCGTGCAAAACCCGCATTTTCCTTTTTCACCCGTTGTCATTTCTTTTCAAGTAGAAAAACAGGAAATTTGCCACGAAATTCGGTCAACGGTGTCGAAAGAGTTGAACTAGCTGCAACTTGCTAGACTACAAGCCACATGTTGCACTTTGATAACGAAGCTAACATAGCGCACGCAGTTGCAGAAATCTTTTATTTATTTAAATAGCACATTTATTTGTTTACTTTCCATAAACATACGACACCACATATAAGAATATGGAATGTTTTTTTTTTGTGTGCAATTTTAGTTGATTCTATCTTTTTTGGCCCTATTTGGCTTGGCTTCTTCGCGTTGCAGATATCCTGTTTTGGTTCGCCAATAGCAATCATCTGTTTTATCTTTGGCTTTCTTCGGGGTGTGGCAAGTGGGGCAGTGGCTGTTGATTGTCGTGACGGCGCGGCTGCATTTGCGGTCAATAAATACAAATGCACAAAGCTTTGCTTAACCTGTATTTTCGCATTGACCACAAACACTTGCACGCTAATGCCTCCGAAAGGCACTTTCATTCATTTACTGGGCTAAGTAGCTGCGGTTTCGACTAAGGTGTCTTGGGTGAATAGTGCGCTTTCGTAAAGTGTATATAATAGATGTGTATGTATAAGTAAACAGACTTACATATGTAAATAGGCAGGCATTACAGTGAGATTTTGATTTTTGAGAAAAGAATACAAGTTATATTGTGATTGAGGGAAGGGGAATATTGTATATATTACAGAGAAGCAATGGCAATAAAACTTTCAATAGAACTTTCAAAAAAATCGATTGTCTTATGAATAAAGACGCCTGTCAAAAGCACAGCCCTTGCCTAATATGAAAATTTAGAGATCGGTCATCGGTCAAGTTAAAAACTTTGTGTAATATAAAAAAAAAATCAAAACAGTTTCGTAAAAATTTCGTGCTTTTTAATTAGATTTCTTAGAGGGATCATAAGTATGCAGTTTTGTAACCCACTGAATTCTAGTAGAACAAAGTAAAATACTCAAATGGCTAAAAATTACGGTTGAATTTTTAGAATTTTTTTTTGTAGAAGATTTTGTTTGAAATATTAGTTGTGTTTTCGTATTCTCCAGCAAAAAATATCCATTAAAGTGTGTTTGCATTGTTCAACTTTGCGTTCAACATTTGCGTTCAACCCTGCGTTGAGTTGAACGTAATTGTTGAACGCAAAGTTGAACAATGCAAACACCTTTTTATGGCGAATATTTTGATATTTTTTCATATTTTGATATTTTTAGCCATTCAACTTTTTTTTCGTGCAACCCTGCGTTGAGTTGAACGTAATTGTTGAACGCAAAGTTGAATAATGCTTTAGCTTGCCAGTAACCAAATTTCGGAGAGTAAGCCAATGGACAGCTGATTAATTTGTTATTTTTCGACGCAATTTTCTAAGAAAAATAGTACTTCCCATCTTAATATATCGCACACCGTCTTCAAAAGAGTCACAACATAAAATTTGGCATTTTTGAGATTATATGCTAAAAATGTACACAGATTTTTTATTTAACTTTCAGCAAAAGCTGGAGTAAATTTTTGTTATAATTAAAAAAAAAAAACCTAAGGTAAAAACGCCCTTGCCCATATGATTATCATGTGCTAAGAAATAGTTTTTCGCATTTTCTTATAAACGTATTATTTTGAGTTATGGCTCTTTTGAAGACGGTGTGCGATATGTATATTTAAATAGGTTTATTTTGTTAATTGCAACTCTAAAAGCACCACAAACAATTCTTTTGGTAATGTGAACTGCATTAAGCATCATGCCATCAGCGGTTTTTCTCACTAGTAAATAGTCACCAGTAAAAATTTATCTAGTAAACATCCAGTAAAACTTACAAGTTCAGCTGTCATTTTTGCTCTCTCAATTCTCTCTCCTTTGCTGGTTTCTTGCAAGTTTTTGCATACGAAAACGACATCCAGTAAAATCAAATAAAATTAGTACTGGATTTTACTGGATAGTGCGTACGCGCACAGGGCCCAAATACACACCACTTTGTATCCAAATCGGTCCAGCCGTTTATTAGTTCAGTGATATAAGATATACAGAAGAATCGATGAAATCACGACTTTTACGTTTTGTTCATTTTGTAGCAACAAAAATAAAAAATTTATTTATATTAAAATTTTTTGTTTCGCGAAAAAAAATTACTTATAGACAAGGTAACATTAAAGGATAGCCAAAAAAACCACAAAGTAGACCTAAAATTTCGTGGCTAGGGAAGTATTAAAATTGTTTAAAGTGGATGAGCACTATAAACATCGCGGGAGCACCTTTTTAATCACTAACAGTCTTTCATTTCACTTCCGTATACACCACAGTGGCTTTCAAATAGTCATTCCCTCTCGGTTTGTTTCTTTGTTATGCGGCGCCCTCTATTAGTCAGATTGAGGAGATAATATCGCAAGTAGAAAACGTTTATAAACCAGAAGGCGCCTTCCAGTGACCGTTTTTATTCTGCAGAAATTTTGAGTTGTGCCAGAGAACGTTTATAAAAAAAATTTCTGCAGAACAAAAACGGTCACTGGAAATGCGCCTTCTCATTTATAAACGTTCTCTGCCAGGACCAACAACCGTGCCAAGTTTGGGAGAAATTGGTGGCGCGGTTCCCAAGATATACACGTGTATGCACTATACAAATTTATCGAAGATGTTTGAAATAGGGATAAAACCACCCCTGCTTACCACGTAGCGGTAGTTTTCAAAAAGGTGAAAAAAACTAATCATTTCGCCGGGCCTCTAATGTTCGGCCCCGCCCGAACTTAGATTTTTTTTATTTGTTTCTGAATAATTTTTGTCAAACATTAATTCTGTGAAGTTATGTTTAACCCTTTTTCTTTATTGGAAAATATTGAATAAGTAAAAAGCTTTTTTTATTCCTGCAAAAAAAAATCTTTTTGGTAGGTACTCTCAAAAACGTTTTGGTACATTTGGTAGGTGGAAAATGATTTGGGTGGCAACACTGGTGTAAAATCCAAACTGCAAAATCATAACTACAAAATTAACCGAATAGGAAATGAGAAAAAGCAAGAACTCGTTGTTGAGCTCAAAAAGTCCGAGAATGTCAAATCTAATTGACTGCGGCCACAATGCATCTGAATGAGTTAACTCGAAGCGGCACTGAAAAAAATTATCCATTTGTACATTTATCTTGCATATATATGTAACTTACCTCTGCTTCCTCCTTCAAATCTATATCGCGATCAAGGAAAAGATGAGCAACTCTCTTCTGCTGTTTACAACAAAAATGCACCACATGGATGAGTAAATACAATTCAATGCAAAGCTTGGCGCAATAGAAGACGAATGCTAACCACCAAGCTCTTGTTATAACATAATAATATAGCTGCGCATATAAATTGGCCAATACGTTGATGAACTCGCCACACACAATCAAACAAATCGGCAATTGAAAGATCCCTTTCAGCTGTCGAAGGAGTCCGTTTAACGCATTGTGCAATAAAATCAAATCCTGAAAAGGCATTAGCTCATCTGCTGGACCAGTTGAGATGTTCTCCAAGTAATATGCCATTTGTTCATAACAAGCGGTTAGCAATATTATGGAACCCAAAATTAGTAGTACCAAAGTGGCGCGGTACTGCTGCAGATACAGTGACGCCAGGTTCACCAAAAAGTGCCACGGATCGATTTTAAATGCCAATTTCGATAGAAAGACAAGTTGAGTGAGTGCATCGTAAAATGTCAGACCTATTTGCAACCACAGAAAGAACAGTGCCCGGCCGTTTATCAATTTCCGGCCGTATATGGCGCGTATCCATTGTACAGTGTGATCCAGTTTATTTAGAAATTCGCATAGCCGTTGCCGTTGCCAGATCTGTGAAAGCATGCTCATCAAAACAATGCTTATGTCACTGACTTGTGATACCATGGCTATGAGCACAAAAATATCGTCGTACTGAAGGCCGACATGTGCGTACGTGGCGGCGACGATGCGCAGCAAGAATGGTGCGGCGCCACACAAGAAAATAAATATCAATATTGCGAGGCAGCTCAAGGCGTTATGTGTTCGATATATGCCACGTTGCTTGCTGTGAAGAATGGGCGCCAGCAACATGACACGAGCGATAAGCAGAACTATGCGGGTGCTGGAGAAGAAAGCGACACTATAAAGATGGCGCCATTTTGTCGAACATAGCATCTTAGCTAATCGTAGGTAGAAGTTTTATGGCAATGCAACTTATTGTTAGACTTGCTGCACCGCAAACTTTTGGAACCGTCGCTATAACTGCAATACTGCAAAGTCCCCGCTTTTCCGTATTTCACTGAAGCCTGTTCTTGTTAAATGAGGCAATGCAGAAAATATTGAATAAAATTGAGCCTTTTAATTCCGCGATTCCATTGGCTTGGTGTGCTGCAAAGTAGTGTGTTATTAGCATTTGGTACTCCCGGCTTCGAAAACGTTTTAATTGGTTGTGTAAGCAAAATAATTATAGTTATTTAAACGCCTTCGTTTAATTACAGCGGCTAATAGATAATGTCAATACAGTACGCCATCGGTAAAGAGAACTGGTGAAATAAATTCAAAAATATATGTTTTGATTTTGCTGGAGAATACTTTACTTTACTTTTGACGCAGCTCCGCAGATTAGCGCTTACACAATATTTTAGTGCTTGGCCGAGTTTCTCCTCCGATTTTCCGCCTGCGCCTTGACCTAAAGTAGTACGCCGACTCCGAGCGGCGTTTGCATTTATATGAGAAGCTGTGTTTCATGGTAGATGTACTCTCGGAGGTTTGCCATTGCCTGCCTAAGGGCGAACGCTATTAGAAACAACTGTTTTTTTTTTTATACCCGAGCGCACTTGTGCCCAAGGGTATATTAATTTTGTTCACATAACGGTTGTTTGTAACAGCCAAAACGAATCGAGATAGATATAGACAAATGTATACATAAATGATCAGGATGAAAAAAGAAATCGATTAAGCCATGTCTGTCTGTCCGTCCGTCTGTCCGTCTGTCCGTCCGTCCGTGTACACGATAACTCGAGCAAAAATTGAGATATCTC